TTTTTTTTTTTTTTTAAACGGTAGCAGTTTTACAAAAACAGGTTTGTTGTCTTTGCAAAATCACAATATGTCATCCTTTTTTGAAAATGGTGAAGTGGTGTGGCCACTTTAATGAAAGTAAATGTATAATGCTGCTGTCCTTTAATGGAAACAGCAGATGTTTTTAAAGAGTTTTGTTTATATTCACGTTTTTAATGTTCTTTATTTTGTTCCAGATTTCCCATTTTGAATAATGTACTTAAAAAAAACCCCACACAATTAGAATGCTGGAGATGAATGGAACCCTAGAGGCTTTCCACTGCCATGCGTTTTCTCTGTAGTTTTGGTGTAAAACAAATGTTTATTCCAAAATCTCAGTACCCTCAAAACGAAGCATTTTATGTCAGAAATTTGCTGAAAATATTCCCGTAGAGTTGCCCAGAATGCATATTCTAACTTTGCATGAATATGCAGTTGCATAAAGGGCTCCAGGAAATCTATGCGTCATGTTTCTACAATTGAGTGGTTTTTATGTTTTTGTTTTTGCAGGAGCTGGGGAAATACGGAGTGCTCTTCTACAATGCCTGCTTCATGATTGTTCCAACTCTTATTATCAGTGTCTCCACTGGAGACCTGCGACAGGTGAGCTGATGACAATCGTTACAGTCTTCCTTAGCAGGCTTTAACATTTTTAATATTTAACATTTGGTATGCACAGAAATAAAACGTGTAAAGGTAGCTGGGACTACCAGGAGGGTACGTGATAACAAGATGTTTGATATCCCTAGTAATCTTTTGGCACTACCCTTGCATTGGCATTTAGCCTTAGCCACATATCAAGGAGTGCCAAGAACTGTGGACTTGGAACTTTTTGGAACACAACAATACAAATCTGAGTTTGAGTTCCATATCGCCCTTTGCTAATGTGGGACCCTGGGAGAGCTACTTACCCTAGAAGGGGATTTTGATCATTTCAAAAAATAGGTTTATTTATTTGTTACTTTCTATTACGGACATTTTGAAACGTGCACAAAATAGAATAATCCAATGAGTAGTCACGGACCCACCACCTAGCTTCAACACTTTGGCATTTTGCCGTGTTATTTTATCTGTCCTCATCCACCCCCACTTTTTTGTTCCCTGGAGTGTTTTAAAACCTATCCCAGCCATCACGCCATTTTACCTCTAAATATCCCAGGATCCACATTTGAATTTTGGGAAGGTGTTGTTCTTTCAGCATTTGCCCTGAAACCTGATCTGCTGCTGGTGAGAGACAAATGAAATGGTGAATTAGTGGTAAGATCTGAGGCCCAGTGGAGCGGTGGAGGCCGAGTCTCTTAGGAAGTGTGGGCATTCACTACAGTGACAGCTCCAGTGGCCACCCTGAAGGGCACAAGACGATGCCCTAGATGCTTTTCCTATATGATAGGAATAGCCCATCAGGTGGCTTCAGCTCAACAGTGAACGGCTTAAAACCTGAGGGACATGAACCATCCTCCTTCAACTGCAACCCCTTTCTTTCGCTAGCTGAGGAATCGCGTAATAATTGGTGAGCCCTGACTTTCCTAAGGGGAGTGCTTCACCCTGTCCCACTCAGCGACTTTGCTTATTGTAGTGAACAGGGCCACCCCCAGGGTGCAGCCAGTGAGGGGCAGCTGGGCAGAGAGTGGGTAAGAGGGGTCGCATGAGGCAGCGACAACTCCATCTGGTGCCCCAGCCGCACCACACTTCTTCAGGAAGTCGCAGGCCACACAGCCTCTGAGAATTTTGCTGATGTGTAAGTGAGTGTGAGAAACGAGATGCGATGGGCAAAACCCTCCTCGGCGGGACCTGCACCCACAGACTCGACTCCAGACACAGCCCTGACTAGCCGGGCGGTAACCCCCCCATTGCTGGTCTGGGGCTGGGGCCGCACCCATTGACCCACGGCCAGGGCGGTGTTTCCATGTCGAGCAGTCAGCGTGGGTGCGTGTTGCCCACCAGCTGAAAGTCAACCCCATTGGCAGCTCTTTTAGGGTCTGAGTGACTCTGAAGGCTGCAGGCTGCTGTGGACTCCTGGGCAGCTCATTGTTCTTTCGTTAGCTGGACTTTCTCACTTGACCAATTCTCTTCCCAGAAGGAGGGGTCAGCAGAGGGGCTGAGCAACCTCGTCCCCGGGCACAAACAGCCATTTCCACGGGTTTATATGGAAAACCACCAAGTGGCACCTATCTGGATAAAGAGCTCTTGTTTCGGGTTAATCAGAACTTTGTGAAGCTGGGCCTCCTGTTAATTCCGTGCTGGAAGATAAAGCGGGCACCTGCCCCTCTCTAGGAAGAATGAGCAGGGCAGGATATCTGAAAACACAGTATTTGTGTTTCAGCTACCAGCAATCAATCTGAAACTGAGTCAGTGCCAGCAACGTTACACAAAACAAAATTATGAACTCTTGGCCAGGCATGGTGGCTCACGCCAATAATCCCAGCACTTTGGGAGGCTGAGGCAGGCGGATCTCCTGAGGTCAGGAGTTCGACACCAGCCTGGCCAACATGATGAAACCCCATTTGTAGAGAGTGTTTTTAGCAGTAAAAATACAAAAATTAGCCAGGCATGGTGGCAGGCGCCTGTAATCCCAGCTACTTGGGAGGCTGAGGCAGGAGAATCACTTAAACCCAGGAGGCAGAGGTTGCAGTGAGCTGAGACTGTGCCACTGTATTCCAGCCTGGCTGACAGAGCAAGGCTCTGTCTCCAAAAAAAAAAAAAAATTACAAACTCTTCATAAGTGGTTCTAGTGGCTTGTCTCCTTTCATTATTATAGAAGTGAGGTTTTTTTTTTGTTTGTTTGTTTGTTTGTTTTTTTTTATCACTGGAGTTTTATCTGTTCTGAAATTCTGGTATTTTAGATAATTTTTTTTCCAGAAATAGAAATCTAGAAACTCCTAAAAATTGTTAAAACACCTCATTGGGACTAAAAGCATATTTCCCCATGGGAACAACGCTATGAAAGGCATAGTGACCAGAAACTGAATTTTAGGTAGTTGATGAGTAAAATAGATTACGTATATTATGTCAATAATTTATAACATTGTTTCAGAAGAAATATGTGTTCTCATATCAAAGTCATTGGCTTATAAACTTACAGCATGGTGTTTTCAGAAGCTGCTACGTGCCTGTAATGATTATCATGCAGACTTCTACTTTCTCATGTAATAATAATAATAGCCAATATTTGTTGAGGGCTTATGATGTCAGACATTTTTCAAAGCATTGTTCATGAATTATCTGACTGCATTTCCACGACGGAAGAGAAGGTCCTGTTACTATTCCTGTCATATAGGAAAAGCATCCAGGGCATCGTGCTTAAGTATCTTCCCAAGAATAGCAGGTGGTCAGTCCAGGCACTCTGGGCTCTCGAAACACATCCTCCACTGTCATCTCATTTACTTTATTTGTATATGAAAAGTGTTCGCTTTCTCCTTCATGTGTGAAAAACATATCCCTCACTTATACAAAGTACCAGAGACCTAACATATTCTTTATGTTTATTTATTTTATTTTATTTTTTTGAGACAGAGTCTTGCTCTGTCACCCAAGCTGGAGTGCAGTGGTGTGATCTTGGCTCACTGCAACTTCCATCTGCCAGATTCAAGCAATTCTTCTGCCTCAGCCTCCCGAGTAGCTGGGATTATGGGTGCCCACCACCATACCCAGCTAATTTTTGTATTTTTAGTAGAGATGGGTTTCACCATGTTGGCCAGGCCGGTCTTGAACTCCTGACCTCAGGTAATCCACCTGCCTTGGCCTCCCAAAGTGCCAGGATTACAGGTGTGAGCCACTGCGCCCAACCCCAAAAGTTTGATGGTTTTTTTTTTTTTTTTTTTTTTTGAGATAGAGTTTTGCTCTTGTTGCCCAGGCTGGAGTGCAAGATCGCTTGGCTTATTGCAACCTCCGCCACCCAGGTTCAAGCAATTCTCCTGCCTTAGCCTCCCAATTAGCTGGGATTATAGGCGCCCACCACGATGTCCGGCTAATTTTGTATTTTTAGTGGAGACGGGGTTTCACCATGTTGGCCAGGCTAGTCTCAAACTCCTGACCTCGTGATCTGCCCGCCTTCCAAAGTGCTAGAATTACAGATGTGAGCCACTGCGCCCAGCCAAGTTTAACTAGTTTTAAAAGTATTGTATGACAAGAGATGCCAAATATATGAGACACTCACTGTAATCCACAAGAAAAAGCCATCAACTCCATAGGAAAAAACAAAACAAAACAAAACAAAAACAAAACAGTGAGGTTTCCACTACTAACATTGAATCAGGGTAAATTTCTTCCCGTTGGTCCCTTTTGACCATGGCGGAATTCATTTTAGATTGTAAACCAAAGAAGAGAAAGAAATGAATTTATGTAATTAGGTGTGGTAGCCTGTAATATAAAATTGCTTTTTGTTTACCAAGTTTGGTCTGACTGTTCTGAAAGCTGATTAATGAATTAGAGCAAAATGTGAACTTCCCTTGTTAGTGGAAAGAAATTCGAGGAGTTATTTTTCCTAGTTAACTGGGACTAGGAGCGCTGGAGAGGACCAGAGATTGTGGTAAACGTGTGTGTGTGTGTGTGTGTGACTCACTCCTCTGGGAATTCAAGCCCAAACTTTGGACTTACACAGTCAATAGATCTATTAATAGTGCCTCGATTCTATCTCTGATGAACAAAGTCAGAGATGACAGCTTCTCTTGTTAACAAATTAGGCCCCTGGAAAATACTCAGCGGGTGAACTTTCTTCACTATTTGAATCACTGCAGTAGGTTCAAAGTACATCTAGTATATTACAGTTGACGAACAGGGATAAAGAATGGGACTTTTTTTTTTTCCCTGATTGAAAAACCCTGAGTGCAAAGTGAAAAAGACTCATATTCCCACAGTAAGTCTAAAGGAAGAAGGGCTTCATTGTTATTTACCTTTAATTATTTCTTTTTAAAAATAAATGTCATGCTACATTATTTTTAAAATGCCACTAATACAGTCTCATCATTATTAAGGAAATAAAACTAAAATCTATAAAAATTTAGGTTGGGTCTGGTCATGGTGGCTCATGCCAGTAATCCCTGTACTTTGGGAGGTTGAGGCGGGTGGATCTCGAGGTCAAGAGATCGAGACCATCCTGGCCAACATGGTGAAAACCCGTCTCTACTAGAAGTACAAAAATTAGCTGAGTGTGGTGGTGAGCACCTGTAGTCCCAGCTACTCGGGAGGCTGAGGCAGGAGAATTGCTTGAACCTGAGAGGTGGAGGTTGCAGTGAGCCGAGATGGTGCTGCTGCACTCTAGCCTGGTGACAGAGGGAGACTGTCTCAAAAAAAAAAAAAAAAGTTAGGTTTGGTGAAGAATCTAAATATTTTTATGAGAGTCACAAAATAGGCTTCAATGAATTTTGTTGTATCAGGAACACATATATAGTTTTTATTTATTTCTTATTAATGGATGGATTGATTTTTTACTGTTTGCATAAATACTTTTAGCTCTTTGAGAAAACAGATGTTTTTCTACCCTTGGTTTGAAATTTAAAACTTACGTATTTCTCTTATTCCCAATTTTACTTTAATTTCAGACAGTGAGTGTTTCCCATGATTTTTGTGGTTTTGTTTTGTTTTGGTCTTTGACTGCCTTAAGCGTAAACTTGTTGGCTTTAATTCTCTTGGATGTTTTCTGCTCCTCTGATTAGCTTGGGGCTTGCTGGTAAGACAGGTTTTTATTTATTATATCTTTCTTTCACAAGTACGCATTTAACAAAAAGTGTTAGGATGCAAGGAAACTGTCAAACATATACAGAAGGAGACAGAGTGATGTGGCAAACGCCACATATATGCCCATCAGCCAGTTTCAACAGTTAGGAACACTTAATGTGTGTCTTTTTTTTTTTTTTTTTGAGACAGGGTCTCACTGTGTTGCCCAGGCTGGAGTGTGCAGTGGTACCATCACGGCTCACTGCAGCCTCCATCTCCTGGGCTCAGGTGATCCTCCCACCTCAGCCTTCCCAGTAGCTGGGACCACAAGTGTGCACACCACCATGCCCAGCTAATTTTTGTAATGTGTATCTTTTTGATAAGTGAAGTGGGCAAAGCATTACTAATGAAACAGTGACAGTGAAATGTGACAAGATGGTCCCGACTGGAGAAGAGAATTCTACCTTAATTGTTTAAAAATTTGAACTATAAACTTAAAAGATTTCATTTTAAATACATAGTTTCTAAAACTTGGCTAACAAAGTATTGCTTACTAGAAAGTGAGTGGAACTTATATTTGATTCTGTTTGATCCTGTTACAGAGCACATACTTACGGGCAGTCTTCAGACACCTTCAGATTGTTTTTGGATACAAGTAGGGGACCAACCATGAAGAAAATACTCCTTCTTATTGTCTCCTCAGGAGGGTTAATTTAATTTTCTCAGCTAGGGATGAAATCCCCGGAGAGCAGAAATTGAGTCTTTTTTGTTTGTTTGTTTGAGGTGGAGTTTTGCTTTTGTTGCCCAGGCTGGAGTGCAATGGCATGACCTCGGCTCACTGCAACCTCTACCTCCCGGGTTCAAGCGATTCTCCTGTCTCAGCCTCCATAGTAGCTGGGATTACAGGCCCCTGCCACTGTGCCTAGCTAATTTTTGTATTTTTCATAGAGATAGGGTTTCACCATGTTGCCCAGGCTGGTCTCAAACTCCTGACCTCAAGTTATCCACCCGCCTCGGCCTCCCAAAGTGCTGGGATTACAGGTGTGAGCCACCGCACCTGGCCAGAAATGAAGTCTTAAATTTCTTTGTCTACCATCTCCTCCACCCCAATTACTTGATTGCTTTGTAAGTAGCAAATAGTAGTTTATTTGTTCACAATACTCCCTAAGCATGTGCAAGTTCCTGAAAACAGTTTATGACCTTAAACTTTTCTTGCCTACATTATTAATTAAGAATAAACTTTTTGGCTGGGTTTGGTGGCTCATGCCTGTAATCCCAGTACTTTGGGAGTCCAAGGCAGGCAGATGACTTGAGCCCAGGAATTTGAGACCAGCCTGGGCAACATGGTGAGACTCTGTCTCTACTTAAAAAAAAAAAAAAAAAAAAATAGCCAGGCGTGGTGACCTGTGCGTATAGTCCCAGCTACTTAGGAGGCTGAGGTGGGAAGACTGATTAATCCCAAGAAGTAGAGGCTGCAGTGAGCCATGATCACACCTGGGTGACAGAGCAAGACCTGGTCTCAAAAAAGAAAGAAAAAGAGAGATAATCAACTTTCTTCTAAAATTATTTACAAAAAATTAACCCAACCTTGAATTTGAGACCACAAATTAAACTAGTAAAGGTGTGTAAAGTCAGTGAATCAATGATAGCCTCAGCGATAATAGCAGTTGTGATTTTGTGCTGGCCGTCAGCATAGTCCTAAACAATTTCATTCAGTCCTTATATCCACCTTTTGAGGAAGACTTTCCTTTTTTAAAATAATCTACATTTTGTAAAATGAATCTGAGGTTCAGGGAAGAAAAGAGATTTGCCCAACGTCACCCAACTAGTATCACCCAGGATTTTTAGCATTATATTTTCTGTTTGGGAAGATGGTTCCTGTATCAAAATGCAATTTAGTAAAACCAGTAAATTTAAACTGCAATATCATTAACCTAATCATTACTTTTTTTCTTTTTTAATAATAGGCTACTGAATTCAACCAATGGAAGAATGTTCTGTTTATCCTACAGTTTCTTCTTTCCTGTTTTTTGGGGTAAGAAACCATAGATACGTAGAAACACTGGTCGACAATATCTCTTGACAAGTCACATCAAGATATGCCTTCTGTCTATTCTGTCAGAATTCCTTTGTGTTTCTCTGACTTTCTCTGGAAAGTAGCCCTGCAGCAAAGGCGGTGGCAGGGACCCAGGAGACCTGGAAACCCAGCCTGAAAGACCAGGAGCAAGCATACAACTCTTGCTTTTGAAAGTCATGCTAATGTCCTTTCTCCTCCAAAATACGATGTTGCCTATTGATTTCTGAAAGTTTGTCTGAAATGAAGTCAGCTGACGTTTCAAGCTCAATGCTGAGGACTTTTTTGTTTTTGTTTCTTAAGAGATGGAGTCTCACTGTGTGGCCCAGGCTGGACTCAAAGTCCTGGGCTCAAGCAGTCTTCCTGCCTTCGCCTCCTGATCAGCTGGGACTCCGGGCTCCTGCCTCCAGGCCTGGCAGTGATATGTTTTCGTCTTTGTCACCATGTCGTTAGTTTTTCAAGATGCCTTCCTCACATAATGATGAGACTATGACAGCCTTTTCCTATAGTGCTACACCTGCTGTATTCAGGAAAATTTCCAAAGAGAGATGTCCAGGCTGTTGTATGGTCCAACAGTTAGGCTATTTTGTTCTTGAAATTTTCTTCCTTTCTTCCTTTCTCCTTCCTTCCTTCCTTCCTTCCTCCCTCCCTC